TCTGGAGCTTGTGTCGATGCAGAGCAGTTCAGTACTGTCCTGGGCGTGCGGGGCACAGACCAGGAACTGGGCTTCGCAGCAGGTTCTGCATTCATCCTACATGCAGAAAAACTCCCACAAATTGAGCCACAGCCTGCTAAGCAGTGGGAAGGCTGTGGGCAGGGCCCCCTCCCCTCCCACCTGGCCCATGGGCCGTGCCTTTGCCCTGCCCTACTCTCTGCCGGGACACACCCCTGCCACGGCCACAGGTCACCTGTGTGCACACAGCACGCCCACGACGGGACCCCACCTCGGCCACTGTCCCTGGCTGCAGAGCTCTCGGCGCTGAGCCGTATTACAGTATCTGCTCGCAGCCTGGCGTGTGTCAGATGCCTCGTGTGGGAGCAGGGCGGCGAGTGAGGGGCAGCCGGGCCACCCTGGGCCCCTGTTGCCACCAGGAACAGGGCCATGTCAGCAGATCACCTACACAGGTCACCTGATTTCCTCACCTATGGCATGGGACAATACAACTGTGATCAGATGTTCGTTTGAGGAGCTAGAGATAAAATTTGCACTGCACCTGAGAGGGCAAATGTTAGCTCTTGCTTTTCCTTTCTTTTTTTTTTTTCTTTTTTATTTTTTGCTTTTCCTTTCTTTCTTTTGCTTTTGGACCTCGAGTGCACGAATTCGGATCGATCTAATCCTGGACCCCTGACACACCTTCATTTATTTATTTTTGATTGTGGTAAAATACACATCACCTAGGATTTACCATCCTAACCACTTTTAAGTGTTCAGCTTGGTGGCGTTAGGCCACAACAGTGTGCAGCCACCACCGCCACCGTCGACGGAGCCCTCTTATCTCCCACACAGAGACTCTGTGCCCACCAACCAACGGCCCCCGTCCCCTCCTGAGCCCCTGGCAGCCCCGTCCCACCTTCTGTCTCTGCGAATCTGACTCCTCTAGGACCCTCCTGTGACTGCAGGCACATGCGCTGGCCCTTCTGTGACGCATCGTCGCCTTGGCACGACGTCCAGCAGGTTCACCGTGGGGTGGCCTGTGTCGGAAGCACCTTCATCTCTGATCCACGTGTGGCCGCCGGCTTTCGTCACGTGCTCTTTCTTTAGTTCTTTATTTAGTTTTCCTTTTTTCTGTTTTACACCTTCCATTGTAAAATAAAAAACAATACAAAAAAATCCCCCAAAGCAGAAGCATCACTTAAGGAACTAGTGTCAGGCAGTCACCCTCGCCACCACGGCCCGTGTCAACACAGGGAATCCCCGCGCCACAGCCCACACCCTGCACGCCTTCCCTGTGGGGGCCATGGCCCGACGCGGTGCCAGGGCTGCCTTCGTTCTCTGTGGTTTCACCGACAAGTGCGCCTCCNCACTTAAGGAACTAGTGTCAGGCAGTCACCCTCGCCACCACGGCCCGTGTCAACACAGGGAATCCCCGCGCCACAGCCCACACCCTGCACGCCTTCCCTGTGGGGGCCATGGCCCGACGCGGTGCCAGGGCTGCCTTCGTTCTCTGTGGTTTCACCGACAAGTGCGCCTCCCCAGCACTGCACTGTCCTGTCGCCCACTTTTTCATCTGAGGTCTTTAACGTCCCCCTCCATCCCTTTCTTTCTGTCATTGTTTGTTGAACAACCTGGGCCCAAGGACCAAGGCGTTTCCCAGGCCACCATTGCTGAGGCGTCACCCTGCTCCTCTGTCCTCCGCATCTCCTGCGAGCGGCAGGCGGACCCGAGGCTGGGCCACACTCAGGGCCACACTCAGGGCCACTGGAGGTGGGAAGGTGTGGAGGGCTCCGTGGGAGGCACCCACCTTGGGCTTTCAGCAGCAGCAGTGTCCTCGCTGTCACTGGGATTGCAGACGAGTGACCCTCTGGCCTGGAAACGTGCCAAGCGGTGCCCCTCTCACCTTTGTTGTCCCGGGGCGCGGTGCGGGGAGGAAAGGTGGGATAGGTTCTCGGTTCTTCCTGCGTGCTGCACACCGGCTGCGGGGGCTGCTGAGTGTCGCCGTGCACGTGGGTTTAAGCATGCCCGTGGCTCTAATCCACCGCAGTAGGAGCCCCACGGACGCTGCATCGTCCCACCTTTGGCCAGGGAGAGCCTCTGCGAGTCGGGCGCGTCCCTGCGGTGGTCACCAGCAAGGACCGACCACGTCGGCGCTTTTGGGTCACTTGTAATCCCAAGTGTCCACCAGACACTCCGCATTCAGCTCATAGGGACGCCTGTCACCTGATCGCATAGGGAAGGCACGCTGGCTTTCAGTTTTGCTGTGTCGTTGCTTGCTCTCTCTTTTGTTTGTTTTCTGAGGAGATGTAGGGTGATTCCAAATGAAGCCATCACGCAGAGTGGAACCGAGAACACGGGCAGTGACCCACCCGCCTGTGCGGTCCACTTCCCATCCGGGCTGCCGGCCTATGGCCATCGCTGTTGGGAATCTTGTGTTGACGGTGTCTTGCATGCAATGTAGATAGACAGAGATATTAATAATGTTATAAATTATACATGTCTGTCCATATATACATTTTCCTAGCTATAGGTTCTCCTAAAAAGTCATTGGTCAGTTTTAGTTGCACTTTTGGGGGACTTAGTTTTTATACTCAGTGTGATTTTGCTAAGATGTATCCATATCGATGTTAGGAGCTACCCGGAGGTGGCGACCCAACCNCTAAATACCTTTAAAGCTGTTTTAGGAAATTGGATGCACATAAGAAAACAGAGGGGGCAGCTCGATGTAAGGAAAACACCTTCCTATCAACTCTGAGCGAGGCCCTGCTCACCTGCCGTGTCACTTGGGCCTTGCAATTCCAGGGGCAGGGGTCACAAGGTCCCTTCCACAGTCGAGCCCAGGTGTCGGGCGGGGTCCAGAGGCCTCTCTGGAGAACTGGCCAAGCTGGGTGGTTCCCATCTTGAAAGGAAGGGTGCTGTAGGGTCCAGAGCTTGCACATTTGGATAAAAGGCAGTTGTCATAAGAAGCCGAGGGAAATAAGTCTTACTTGCGAGAATAAGTGGTGTTAGCACTGTGGGTGAGCAGGTGTTGTGGACAGAAAGAGCATTTAAGCTGTGTTTAGAAAAATCGAACTTTGCTCATGGAATCATTTCTTATGTTTAAAATAGAATGATCACACTGTGGAACAAAATTCTAAATAGCCGTGGGGAGCTTCCGGACTCAGGCTTGTTTTTATGGCTTTTCATATTCCTTTAATGGTGTCCCTTGAGCTTTTGGGTCAGACACTGTAAACCTTAGCATTTTTCATTTGTTTTTCTTTATGGTTGAAACCTAGGCATGTGAAGACATCAGGAACACACTCTGGGGTGGCGTGTGTTCCTCTTCAGCCCCTACTGGAGGGCCAGGAGTGCGTTCTGGCGTAACATGAAAGGGATGCTGCCACAATCAGGCAACAGAAGAAGGAAAATACGCCGCAGGAAGGAGCAAGGGGCTTATTTAGATTCGGGTCTAGGAGCCAGGAATCTGGAGTCTGTTCTCACAGCTATGTCAGTGCCTCGGTCCTGGTCAGTGTCTGAACTTTTGTTCCTAAATCTTATTCC